TTAAAATGGTCCGTATTCGAGAAATTTGACAAAATGTAATAAAATTTAATTTTTTAGGAAAATTGTTTAAATAAAAGTTATTTGTGATATCGATCTCTATAATATTTGTTTTTTATATAATTTTTCTAAAAAGGACCGTATTGGAAAAATTGAAGGAAAAGTTCTAAATTTAAATTTTTTAGTATTTTCGTTTTCAATGAATATCTATAGAAAAATGTTTCGAGTTAGATGTATGTGGAAAATGTATATATTTAGTTTATCCTCTAAACATTTATAGAGGTGCTGCAATAGGTTGTACAAAATAACCGGAAAAAGCCTATAATAACTAGATAGGAAAGTCATGTGTTGGACACATCAGATTTTTAAGCTTTTTAAACAATAATATACCTATACAAAACATATCTTATATATATTATTAATTATATATTACGAAAATGGAACAAACCAAAACAGGAGTTGGTGAGGTGTGGCTACCTTTATTAAAAATGATATTGAGTCGAAAAGAATTTATTTAAACACAAACCTGGAAGCAGTAACCGTAACGGTACACACGCCAAACGTACTAAATACATGCAATGTTTATATCCCTTTCGACGCTGATATTGACAGAGCTGAACTAGAAATTCCACAACCCCGTCTACTCTTAGTAGACTTTAATGGCCATAATTTGATATGGGGATCAGAATCAAACAATACCAGAGGAAAGTTAACAGAAGCAATAATAACTGAATATAGCTTCACTCTACTAAATGATGGATCAAAAACACGATTTAATTCCTTTAATGGCAACTTATCCGACATAGACATAACTTTTTGTGACCCAGCGATTAAGCCTTGTTTTACTTGGCAAGTTCTGCTTGACCTTTATAATAGTGATCACTACCCAATAATAATATCTAAAATTCGAAATACACAAGATACAGTTCCAAACCAGAAATGGAAGCTGGACAAAGCAGACTGGGACAAATATCAGAATATAATAGAACGCGCAGTTAATAACTTGTCGCTAGAAGGAAACATAAACCAGATAGTTAACACTTTTACTAGTATGCTAATTCAAGTTGGCGTTGACGCAATTGGAAAAACAAAAACTTTACAAAAACGATATCCAATACCATGGTGGAATGAAGAATGTAGACAGGCTATAAATACAAGCAAAAACGCATTCAATAGATACAAACGACACAAAACTAATGAACATTTGTCAATCTTTAAAAATTTGAGAGCTAAAGCAAGATATATAGTTAAGAAAAGCCGAAAAGAATCCTGGATCAGATATGTTCAAACTATAAATAGCTCCACTAATATAGCAAATGTATGAAAGAAAGTCAAAAGTATTCCAGTGACTCAGACCCAATCACCAGGTTGTCTCAAGACTGTATTAAAAATTTTGATAATACCTTAAAAGATAATTCAAAAATCAACAAATCAATAACGAAAAAAGAACTTGTTGAAACTCTAAATTCTTTCAGTGACTCAAGTGCAGGACCCTATGATATTTTGAATAGCTTTCTTCGACAATTACGGGAATGGACAGAAAACATATTCCCAGACGAATGGAGAAAATCTATTATTATCCCAATTTTAAAAACAGGAAAGAACAAAATTTTACCGGACTTTTATAGGCCAATCTCACTGACCTGCACAATGTGCAAAGTACTCGAAAAAATTGTTAATAACAGGCTTGTATGGCAACTGGAACAAAACCAACTGATTTGTTGCGAGCAAAGTGGATTTCGAAAACAAAGAAGTACCATAGATAACATCCTAGACTTTGAGAGCGATATTCACGAAGCTTTAGCAAATAAATAAAAATGTCTAACCATTTTCTTCCACATAACAAAAGCATTTGACACTGTAAAGAGAATAAATATTTTACAAACATTGAAGCAATGGAATATCGAAGGAAACATGCTTGCTTTTATTAAAATTTTCTTTACAAACGAAGTTTTCAAGTAAGAATAAATAACATTTTATCGACAAACAAATTACAAGAAAATGGAATACCGCAAGGCTCTGTTCTAAGCCCTACCCTTTTTTTGATCGTTATTAACAATATTGTTAAAAATGTCCCAAATCCAGTCAAGACGAGATTATATGCCGATGACCTTATCATGTTCATTAAGAGTAACCACTGTCCAACTATGCAAATCTTTCTTCAGAAACATCTAAACGACATTGAAAATTGGTCAAATGAAACAGGTCTTCAATTCTCTACTTCCAAAACAAAGTGTGTGCTCTTTACAAAGCAACGCAAAGAGCATAACATATCATTAAAATTATACAGCAAACCTCTTCAATTCGTCCAATCGATCAAATTTTTGTGCATGACATTCGAACAAAAATTAAACTGGAATGAACACATAAAAAAACTGATCCTTTCATGTCAAAATGGGCTAAATCTACTAAAAATGCTTTCGAATAAAAACTGGGGTTGTGATCAGACTACTCTTCTTTAAATCTACAAACACCTTATACGATCCAGAATCGACTACAGAGCTATAGCATACTCCTCTACAAAGCCACATATTCTAAAAACCGTTGACACTATTCAAAATAAAGCAGTTCGAACAATCTCAGGTGCTTATCGAACTTCACCTATCGTGAGCTTACAAGCTGAACTAGGAGAACCATCACTTTCGCCTCAACCATTTTAGCCAACAAAACAACATCCAGTCTACAAAAATTCTCACTCAAAAAGGTACAGCCAAATATATCAACAGAAAAAGAGAATGGACCACCCATTTTATTATAGAGTAAGCAAAGAAGTAGTCAACGTTGAAATCAATTTTCCACGAATCATATCCCCACAAATAAATACAATTTACCCATGGCTACTCCAAAGCCCGTCAGTTGATACCAGCTTAACAATCTACAACAAACATGAAACTCCCACTATACTAATACATGATACTCTAATTTCAAAACTAGCCTCCTACTCTAACTTCCAACATATATACAGAGATGCTTTTAAAACAGACAATGGTGTTGGATCAGTAGTTATCACTCCAACTATTCGACTACAATACAAATTACCTGTGCTAAGAGTGTATTCACTGGAGAACTTTATGCTATATGTATATCAAGCACTGGTCTGGATTAAAACATCCAATTATAAAAAATCGCTTATAATCACCGATTCACTTAGTTCTCTAATGGAAATTCAGAGGGTTATCTCCTTTCATCCTTCGAGCATATATTACTAGAGCCATCGTCCAAATGGACTTTGTTTTGGTACAGGGGGAAAATAGTATCCAGCATTCCCATTGGTCTGTTTCGTTTTGCTTGACATGTCAAATCGTTCGAAATTGTCAGAACTGTTATTTGTTTTTTGATTTTCATTAATTTCTAGCTTATTTTTGTAGTTTATAAGTGATTTTTTTGTATTTTATTACTTTACTGATACAAATTTTAACAATGGTGAGAGTTTGTGTAAGTTGTAAATAGAAATAAGAAAAGACATCGTCAAGGGCATTTCATAAGTAAGTAACCATTAGCGTCTCTACCATTTTTTTAAAGAAACATAGTACCTACATTTTAGTCAAAAGATCGTTAGACATGAATTTAAAATAAATGGTAAATTTAGTGAATTTAATTTAAACAACTTGTATTATGTATGAGGAATATTGTTTTTGATTTTGGACTTTACTGAAAAGTTAAAAAAATATAATCATAATTTTTCAATATAAACAAACTTTTTGTTTTTAAGGAGGTCCTTTCGCCACCAATGTTAAATAAAAAATATTAGATTATGACTAAAATTAATTTTTTTCTAATAGTAGATGTCCTTATTTATCTAATAGTGAACTTTTAACTATACCTTACCGTGCAAATTTTTGAGAAAAATTTTTGTTTTAAATGTGTGTGTTTGTACAGTGTCTTATGAGAAAGTAAGACTTCAACAACAATTTTCGAATTATAATTAATTTTACTATTATTTATTGATTAGATGGAGTAGAAAAAAACTAAAAATAAGGTTTTTGAAATATTTAGGTTTTGTTTTTTACAATAAAATATATAGGTTACCGTGGAATTTATTGAGAAATTATTATTAAAAAATCACAAAAAATTTTCAACTAGGTTACTTGACATTTTTCCGTTATACACTTTCTGAAGTTTGAATTAAAAAAAAAAAATAATAATATTAATAATAATTATTATTATTATTTACTAGATAGGTACCTACTTAAATAATGCAAGTTTATAAAATATGTGCATAATTTAAAGAATTTTGAAGGTATGTATCAAATTTATTATTTATATTAATTGCAAACCCCGTAAAAATGATGCGACACTGGTAATAGTGTACAGGCATTTCCCCTCACAACGTAAACAAACCCTATTGAATGCGGACTCTATATGAAATATATATGCTCGAAGCTTTCATCCTATAAATTTTCTCATCAAGACCGAACTGCACCAACTTCAAAGCACCAAAGTGGACATAAGGTTTTTGTGGACTCCTTCCCATATTGGACTTCTTGGAAATGAAGCAGCTGGGCCCGTGACGCAGTGATAAGTGACAGTGCAACTTTAGTGGACAAATGTGTGACTAGTGACGTAAAAATCCATTTAAAAGAAAAAGTTCTAAGTGCGTGGCAAAACGAATGGCAACAATCCGCTGCAAAGTTGAAGGAAGTGAAATCTAACATAAAACCCTGGAAATCTATAACATCCCAAAGACTTGAACAGATAATCATTACTAGATTAAGAATCAGATATACTAGGTTAACACGAGAGTACCTTATCAAAAAGTCAGAAAAACCATTATGTGAACATTGCAATTTTGATCTTACTGTAAAGCACCTGTTGTTAGATTGTACAAAATATGAACAAGAAAGACGAAGTAATAAAATACCTAACAATTTAGAGGCAATCTTAGGACAAAATTGTAATGTACACAATGTCATTAAGTACCTAACTAACATTGGAATCAAAAGGTTTTAAAGTAACACTCTCCGCTAATAAAAAAAAAATAAAAAGTTATATTCAAAAATCATGTTCCCATGAGCACAAGCTACAAAAATATTATCTGTGGAAAATTTCCGTATCAAACTGCATCAAAACTTTTGAATGATTAAAATTTCTTTACTTTAACGGTAAATAATACATTTAAATGCCTAAAGGAAAAGTTGAATACCTTTTAAGTTTAAAAGAAATGAACTTCTTAGATAATGGTTTAATTAAAACATGAACTAACAATTTTATTTTTATCCATAATTACGTCTTTTAATCTTTCCTTATAATTCACTTAATTCTCGCTTTAGGTAAATACGCTCAACTGTCGGCAGTTCTATGCAACTAATGGTTCTTTTTATTCCGCGTTCGTCCAATCTTTCCCTTATTTTTATCGGTTCGTCCAAAAAGTCTCTAAAAAGTATATCTGGATCTATCGGAATGTAATCACCTCCTCCTCTTTCCAAATAAGGGCCTTCATTAAACAAATATGTTTCTCTTAATAATTCTTGAAATACTCGCGCCTCCAGACGAGTGTGAATTTTTTTCAAAATCTTATAAGATGTAAACAAAACTATTCCTATTACTACAAATGCACCGAACACCATTTTTTAAATTTTTCACTTTGATTTTCCAGACCTTTGAGTTATTTACTATAATATTTAAAAAATGTATGACATGATTATTAATTTGATTGACATGTTGATGGACTGGGAGGAAGCAAAATGCAATGTCAATACAAAAAAATGACCCCATTCAAGCTTGTCGCCATGTTAGGTAAATTTATAATTTGGCTACACTGATTTTTAGTTTGTGTGTTCTGTAATACGTGAACACCGATAATCTGCACTTTGTTATTAGTTATAAGCACATACTTTGATTACAAATCAAAGTATGTGGTTATAAGTGAGTGATACGCACAATTTCTAATTTCAAATTAAGAACAAAACTTTGACAAACCTATTTGATTTTCATAGATCTGTTCAGACAGGACCGGTTTTATAAATTTTCTCGTTCTGGAAATGTTATTTTTACATGGTTATATATATTATTGGATAAGTGTTTTGTGTACATACTGCTATGAGAATTATAGAGAAATTCAGTGAGATTTACGTAATATAATTCAAATTACAAGTAAACCATCTGTTCCTGTTTGGCAATATGGAGAAAATACCTACTTCAATGTCAAATGTACTATTTAAAAGAATGTGATTGTTAACCGGACATTTATTTATATTATATTATGAAAATAAAAACTCGAGTTTTTTAACTAGGGAAAGATATACTTACATCGGTAACAAGGTATTTTTAGAAAAACTGATAGATTACTCCTATTCCTTTAGTTTATTTGAAAATGAATAATAGCAAAATTATATAAAAGTATTGACCTTTGCCATAAAAACTGTGCTACCAAGCATTTTCAAATAAACTATAATGATAATTTGATTTAATAGAGCGAGTATAAGATCTCACCTGTTAGAGAAATTGGGGCATAGTGAAGAGATTATGAAGCAGGTAAGCAAAATCGTTGCAAAAGATAAATATATAGAAGTTATTTTAAAAATTTGATAAAAAACTAGTGGAACAACAAATGGATTTGTCGCTTTTGGAGATACAATCAGCAGAAAGAAAAAAAAACTTTGGGAATATTGGAAAAAGGCACAGCAATAGGCCCAAAACAATTCCTTGGTTTTTTAATAAATATAATCTTGTGAGATGCAAAAAATACTGCTAGAGTGGAGAAGCAGTATTGTTTTAATGTAGAAAACCCAGGGACATACAGCAATGCACTAACCATAGGCGAATAGTCACTAAATTATACAAGGTCCCATCTCGATTTTATTTTTAAATATTTTTGAGAATACTTATTATTATTTGTTACATTGAGTTTAATAAAACCACAGATTTCGAATGTATTGAAAGTTATTTAAAAAGTACCTCTATAAATATATAGAAAATGTGTATATGACTAACTGGTTTTATTAATCTTTTTTTGGGGTAGGTAAATATATTTTGAAAAATTTACAAACATTTTTTGAATAAAAGACAAAATATTTCTGTTTTTATTAACTGAACAATATTTTATACAAACATAATATATACCTATTTAAAAGAAAATATTAAAGTTTACAAGTATCGCATATTTATATGAAATAACTTACTAAATAAGAAAGAATTAAATGTAACAAATTAATAAACAATGGATATTAAAATTGCTTTAACAATTTAATCCTTAGATAAATTTATTCTTACATATCGCTTTAATCAATTTATTAACTATAAAAGTATATTTTCTATCATTTATTACATGTAATAAAATAAAGCATAAAACATAAAAACTATAATATGTACCTACTTAGAACGGAACTAATATTAATATAAAAACCTAACCAAAAGATGTAGAATAAATTGTCGCAACGATTTTTATATCATTTCTTTGACAGTATATGTCCAAAAGTGTACTTTTCTAAAATAATGCATTCAGATATTTCTCTAAATGAATAAATAAAACTTCACCAAGAAAGATTAAAAAATTCTAGTAATTTGATTGTGTTTACACTCATGTTGTTTAATAGCAATTAATAAATGGAGTGGTAATATTCATTAACTCGAGAGATAAAAAAACCCATTTTGTTTAATAACATTAGATGACGGGGTGATAATATTTATAACTTTATTGCCAACAATTTTCTTTCTACATAGCAATTCACAAATTACATTATACGCCAGGTACCTAAATAAGTAAATGTAATATAAAATAATAACGCCACTAGAGAAACCTAAATTAAACAATTGTGAGACAATGTTTTTAGGATCCACCTTATCAAAAGCTTTAGAACTCTTTATAAATAGATGTAGCATCCAAAACATGAACAGAAATATATTCAATTAAGCATAAGTTAATAACCATTTAATGATTATTAATAAAACTTTGAAGATGTTGTGAAATATTATCCAGGAAATAGTAAAAAAATGCAATTGCAAAGAGAAATAATAAAAAGTACACAATAATATTGGTCTATAAATTGCAGTTTGATTTCGTCATACTTTTAAATATTATATTGTACATATTATTGTTTCTTTACACAATTCACTATATTTTCAAGTTTTTTTTGTTAATGCAAAAAGAAAAATTTGTTTCATAAGTTATTTCACTGAATAAGTTCTAGTTTAACAATATACATTCAAAGACTTAAATTAATGTCACCAGTGTGTTACATAGAAAGAGTTTGTTGGTGATTATCTTTCTTCAGCAAATATTTCATCATGGCTGAAGTAACAATGAACTTGTAGTATAACTAGTAAATGATGCAATACACATTGCTCAACTTTTATAGGCTATATAAATCTTTTATTACAAAGAATAATAGACCATAAAGATGGGATATAACAGAAAAGTTTTATTGTAAAATTACTTGGTTATAATTAAATTACAATGGCATAAATTAAGTTGTACATAAATAATTTAAATAAACACAAGTAAGCTATAAAGGGTTGTACATGGGCAAACAAAATAAGACAAAACCATATTCTGATAAAATTATCATCAGAAGAAAAAGTTGTATCAAGGTAGTAATAGTGGACATTTTTTGAATAAAAAAAAGTAAAAAAGAAGTAACGGTCGACACGTTTTTCTGACTATTGGTCTTCATCAGTACGGTGCAGCCAAGTTCAAAGGATCATGTAACTTGTGTTGGAAAAATTGTACAATACCATAGGTCACTATGTCACTAACAAGGAGCCAATAACACATTTGCCGTTTCAGCTAGTATCCCCAAATTTTCTGGGCTTTTACTAAAGTCACAAAATGATTCAATGGTCTTCCTATGGCTATCAGTTATTCTTTCCTAAAAATTTTTGGTATGCTACAACAAAACATACAAATTATTTGATTTTGTATATACACAAATATTTGTGAAAACCTACACATGAAATGTTATTCCTTCCTTGTACCTTCTACCGTTAGATGCATTGTTACATTCAGGTACAAAACAACAAGAGATTTTGAAAATCCTGTAAAAATTTAACACCAAACCACAAATGTTTTTTATTAAAATAAAACACTAAACGACTAAACTAAAATATGTTTTAAATAAAACCTTTACTAGAAGAACAAAATAAACAACACAACAGATAATAAAATGGATTATATACGTCGAACGCCGATCTTACGGTTATTACTAAACTTGCGCCGATTCTGTCTTGTCAGTAGTGCCAACTTAAAATTTATTGACATTTATTTATCATGGCGCCCATCATATGGGGGGTCAAAATGTTTTTACGATGCGGTATCTAGACCTTCTGAGGGCTATGATTGGAATAGATACTCCTTGTTTACATAAACAATTGTCGTATGGTATTAAGGTCCATAATCGCAATGATAATCGCATGCACATTAAACGATGGTACCAGCAGAGGTTGCCACAGTGTCTGTTTCGGGTAAACGTATAAGGATAATAATGATTAGTTTCCAATGTTTCAAGGTTCAAGATACTTAATATGCAGCTTAATATTTAACATTTCATTCAAGAATCTGGATCATATTCATGAAATTTCTCATTTAATTTTTTTCTTCATTGAATCGGTGTTTAAATTAGATGTTTTTAGATTTTGTTCACTAGTATACGTCGGTTTAACCATTAAATACTATATTTTAACTGAACATTTGGCAACCCTCATTATGTATGTTTTTAAAAGTGTTGTTTGGTATTTTATTTTAGTGGAATATTCTTGTTTTATTTAAATAAATAAAATATAAATATATGAAAGAAATTGTCTACCAACGTGATTATACATTTCAAAATAGTAAAGAGATGCATAGTTTTCCGAACATTTTGGACCAAAATCACTCAAAACCAATGCTCGCTATTTGAAATGTAAATAATGTAGATATCCATGGGCGTAACAACTGTGCTGGGGTTTTATTTATTTCTTGATATAAAAATACCTAATTGTAGAAACTGGTCATTTTTTTTGTGTCATCGGCATCAACTGCTACGGTTATTAGCCTCGTGTTCTGTGTAGGCTTTGTTACTGTTTCCGAGAGCCACTTTAGGAACAGCACTGTTAATTAGTACCCAATAGTGAATGGTCGAGTGGGGAATCCTACCAAGGCATCAGAATTAATTTTAAATAATTAAATGAAAAAATCCCGGCCAACGGTGGGATTCGAACCTGGGACCCTTGGATTCGCAGACAGAGACTCTACCACTGAGCCACCCACCCCGTCCAAAACTGATTATTTTATGATATATACATATACAGGTTTCCGAGAGACATTGTCCAACATCATTGTGGCTGAACAACTTAAAAATAAATGAGGAAGATCTCAAAACTGAAAGTTACCAAAATTTGTTTAGATCACTTTTCACCTGAATATTTATTTAGCTATAATAATCGAACATTTTATTTGAAATCCAATGTTTTGCCCATAGAGTAAGTAAACAAGTGTCTTTATATTCATACTTTCGTATTGATATAGTATTTATTGCAAACGCCTACTTACACCTAGTTAAACAATTCTTTTTTGAAACTGTTATTGACGTCTAAAATACTGTGAAAAATAGCTTAGAACTGTTGTCTCCCAGTTGTAGTTTAATAAACACAAAGTAAACTTTTTTGATTGTACTAAACCCAGTATTGAAAACTTATAATTTTTT